TCTCTCTCTCTCTCTCTCTCTCTCTCGCTCTCTCTCTCTCTCTCCTCTCCTCGCTCTCCTCTCTCTCTCTCTCTCTCTATATATATATTTATATATATGTAAGGTGTCAGAGAATACATATGTGCCGCTAGTGAATGTACTTTTGTTCGAATAGCACAGAGCGCTTAATAATAGTGTATACGTACATACATGCATACATACATACATACACGCTTACATATATATATATATATATATATATATATATATATATATCGAGGCGCTCGCGTTCCCCTCCTCCTGGCCCCGTGCGAGGGACGCGGCCACGGGGACCAGGAGATGGGGGAAACAAAGGAGAAGATTCGAAGAGCTGCCGGCGTGAGGACGAACGTGCCGGCGGAACGGGCTGTTTGGATTGTGTTTGACGAGTGTGAAATACAGAAGTGACTTTGGACGTACTGAGTGTTCCAGTGAGCCGGAGGCGAGACACCAGAACAGCAGAACTTACACAACCACACACACACACACACACACACACACACACACACACACACACACACACACACACACACACACACACACACACACACACACACACACACACACACACACACACACACACACACACCACGAAACACACACACACACACACACACACACACACACACAAACACACACACACACAACACGCACCCACACACATCACACACACGCACACACACGCAACGGGCGTGGCCAACGACGCCGCCCGAACAGCTGGCAACGCAGGTGGCCGCCGCTGCTCACAGTTGCAGCGAGACCCACTGCCCAGTGGTGTAGCCAGGATTTCAGCCACGAGGGGGCCACGTTGGGACGTAGGTGTGGGTCTTTCAGCCAAGTTTGCTCACTTCATCGTTGTAGTGGCGCTGTTCTTTTTTAAATTTTGGGTGGCTTTTGAGGTTGGGCTCTCATTTTAATGCCTCGGGAGCCCGTTTCGCGATGTTTTAGAAGCCCTTCGGACTCTTAAATTGTCGAAAATACTGGGTATTTTGGCCGCAAGGGGTCCTTGCTATCTCAAGGGGGAGTGTGGGGATGGGTGTTATCAAAGGCTTTCTCGTGCACGATGTCCCTTACCCCTCCCTCCCACCACCGCTACTCATCAGTCCGTGCCCGGACCGCGCCCCACTTATTTATTATTAGTGGTATTCACCCATTACACACCCACGTTTGCATTTCACAGCATTTTCTCTGTAACTTCAAATATAAAGCGTTTGAGGAAAATGTATGCCTCAATTAACTCTTTTGCGTTTATAAGTGCAAGATTGGTGTGAATAGATCTAATTTTGACTACAGAAGCGCAAACAGTGGCATTGTGCATGTCCGCAAGCACGTACACAACATTTTGTCACATTCTACTGGTGTTGTTACCCGTACCCGTAGTTTTTCCGAATATTTATCCTAACCGACCCGGTACTCACTCCTTGTGGGTGCCAATGGGCTTACCTATCCCGTGAAGTCCTCGGGGGGGGGGGGGGGGGTTCACGGAGTATTCCGCGTGCTCGCCGTGACTTGGGGCACAAATACGGTCGGCAGCCCATTTCCAGCTCATGACCAGCGATGAATTACGTGGCCTGAGCACCATGACCCGTCACCCGACCCGGGCTCACCCGGCAAGGGCGGCACGTGGGTACCGCCACCCGGAGTACACGAGATGACCACGTTGGCTCACCTGCGAGGGCGGCACGTGGGAACCGCCACCCGGAGTACACGAGACGACTACGCTGGCTCACCTGCGAGAGCGGCACGTGGGAACCGCCACCCGGAGTACACGAGATGACCACGCTGGCTCACCTGCGAGGACCGCGTACCTAAGCTATTTTGGGAATCGGCCGCGTAGATGTCGTAACCGCTCACACCGACTGCCGTGGTGTTGCAAATGAGGTATCGTGCGACGTGTGTAATTGGAGCTCGGTTTTCATGGCTTAAAATTCGTCGTAATCGGCACAGTCCTTGCGATGATCAACATGGATTTGTGATGTCGGTTAACAGTAACCACTGGTAGAATGAAACTGCGCATTAAGATGCAACATAACACAACAGAGGATCTAACGTCCGGAGCCTCTCGAGCTTGCAGGTAAAAGAACATTACCACCGCAAGGCAGCGATTGCACACAACGCAGCAGGGGATCTAGATATGGAGCATTCCAAGCTTTCAGCTGAAACTACATTTCCATGGCACACTTGTGCTTCTGGATCACATTGTATGTACAGAACTTGACATAATTCCAAGAACGCCGGCACAGTGCAGACTCCTTCTTCAGTGCCGCTAGGCAGTCTGACATTCCTGGGCACTTCAGCGAACCGATAAATGGCTTCATGCGCCTCTGTATAGCCTCCTTTTCTCTTCCAGTCCACAGCACGGCCTTCCTTTTGGCTTTGGGCCTTCTTTCATTAATCCTTGGCCCCCTGGGTGGTCCGTTTTCTGCTTCAGCTTGGGGATCGGGAGCCATCTCTTTAGCGTTCTTCACCTCCATCTCCACTCCCATGTCGTCAGGGGCAATAATGCTAGCGCTGTCGTTCATGTCGACACTGGGAGCGGTACCACCTTCGACGACATCGTCACTGCTGGGGTCAAGGTCATCCACGGTATTTCCTGCGAATCCGCCGATCCTTTTGGCCATCGCGAGTAGTGTTTTACTCACTTTGGCAGCATGCACCGTCTTTTCGGGAAGTATATATAACTGCCTGTGGACCCGTATGTCATGGCCCATAAAGGGGGCCACGATATCCATTTCAATCTCGCTCAGTTGCAGCAGCTGCAGCATAGTGGCCACATACTTTCTGTACTTCGTGGCTGTGATGTTG